ACTACAGTTGTGAGCATGCTGGCTTTGCTGCTGGGAATTGTCATTCAGTAAAATCTGGAGGCCACAAATTGTCAACCCGTTTTGTATCTTTTTAGGTGGAGGAATAAAACAAATATTTGTTCTGTAAGTACAATACAGCATAACTAAACTGATACATACTTTTCAGTTTGTGAGGATAGTAATGGCTTTAATCTAGAGCTCACTCTACTATTAATAGGGGTGACCATGTATACAATAATATCCCCAGCATCTATGAAGTTATTCATCACTCCTTGTACTTTTTTAATGCTTGCTATATTTTACTTTAAATGGCTCACATTAACATTAGTAAGAAGAAAAAATATTGGTTGTGTTTTGGGACTTATTAAGACCTGGCTTTGGGGAACAAAAATAGAAGTGGCACATTGGTCAGTTAAACATGTTGCTTTGCATCCTTCTAAGACCACTAATTTTGACAAAGCCCTTGTACATCATGCCTCTGTAGTATACATTTAGCAACCTGAACTGATAAAATCAGAACAGTTGGCAACACCTGTTTGATATTCCTCAAACTAGAGTAAGCAATTAAGAATTTGAGTTATCATGGTTGCTACCTGGATGTCAGTCTGATATCCAATGGTACTATATTTTTTCTGAAACTAGTGTTCCTTCAGTTATCACAACTTCCAGTTACCATAATTTATATATTTTGAGTATCTGTGTAGGCTCTTCAAGTCTAACATTTAAAAAAAAAAAAACTGCCATCACTCTATTGCTCCCATCCACTCATCCAGAAACCTTGAAGGGTGGTTGCTGGTGAGAATTTGAATATTATCGAAACTGAATCTGTATATAGTATATTCTCATTATATCTTCAGACTATATCCCCTCTCGTGTTCAGTTTTAAAATGTTGATTAAATCAAGTTTGTGTATGTTTTATTTAAAGCTAGATTGCTTACTTTGATTATGTAATCCTTTTTTGTAATTCCTATTAAATTTGTTTTATATTCTAATTCAAACTGTTTGAGCAGCATATTATAAAAATGATATATACAGATGATTGATTTCTCTCTGTTCTTAAGTTATAAATATTAAATCATTGCCATTAAATGAGGCATCTGCTGTTCCAGATTTAGGGCAATACACTAGGATTGCTTGAATATACTTACCTATATGGCCTTGGCCTAGAATTTTGCTATATAGTTGAATCCTATAAGCAGCAAAAGTCTAGTACTGTGTCTTCTGTAGTCTCTAGACAATACACTTGAAAATATTTGAGTGCAGAGGAATTCCCTTCAGGAAATCACTTCATGCTAGTTGTGATGGTAGTTGCATAGCTCTGAGGGGCATATGTTTGAAAATAGTAATACACTTAGGGAATGACTGAATGATCCATTGATTCCTGATGGCCTCTGTTGCTCTCAAAGAATTGACTGTAAGAAGGCAAGACCAAAGCAATAAATTGTACAGAGGCCCAATGGGCAACAAGTTCTATAAGCCTCAGTATTAAAAAATACTATTGATTTGGTGAATACAGAATAGTTTTCTTATCTGCCTCAACACACAGTTTTAGAGTTAGTGGGCTAAGAAATTGTTTAAAAAAATGTCAATTTTTATGTTTTCACAAAACCTCTAATTGCACCTTTGGTGCTGTGTGAGAATTTCAGGCATTCAGCTGTAAACAGTCTCTTTGGCTTTGCAACAGAATTAATAGTCGGTCTTACAAAACTTAATAAACAATTTCTGTTTTGTTTGCAGGGTATGGAAAGCGAAGCTCCTGGTAAGTACCTTTTTCTCTCCTTGCTTCTAAGCTTTTTAAAAGTTATTTTCAACTTGAAGGATGCACTGACTGAGAGCAAGAACTGTATTTGAGGCTTAAAGAATAACATGTGGTATTCAGAGAGGCTGGATAGGATTCTAAAGATTGGTGTTGCCATATTGCAGTGCTGTCTGTCAGCTCTGTGGCCTGTTGGTCTTTTATTATGTAACATTTTATTACAGGTTTCAGGGCAGTTTTGCCATCACAGATAATATGTAAATAAGTGATATGTCAAATTCCTATTCTTTTGCTTAAAGGATAAGGGGAATGGGAAGAAATAAAAGATTTGGAGAAATGCAAGAGGTTATTTGCACATTTTAAAATATAGCAAATATTGGAATCCTTCTTAGAAGAAGGAGCTATTAGGATGCTTAATAAGCTATGTTTAAATTAATCCTGCAATGCTTTCAGTGGTAGAATAGCAGAATATATAGTTATATCACAGTGGAAAAAAATTGTGGACTATACTAAATCCAAATCAGTACACCCATTTTTATGACAGATAGAGTGGATAGAACTGAATTAGCTGAGTTTTCTATCAAGCAGAACATCTATTTATGAAGTGTAATGACTTATGCACTTGGGAGCTTTGTCAGATGTGAAATCACACTTTTCTTTTGGCAGGCAGTTACCATTATTCACTAAGTCCCCCTACAGGTCTACTCTAAGTTGGTTTTTATATGTATGACTGATCTTCAAAATTCCAGCAGATAGATTTGGCCAGTTTCTTTGTCTCATTCAAACCAAACACAGTTGACTTCGTTTTCTCTGTATTCAGTCAAAGTATTTCTTACAAAGCTCTATATAACCTTCTGACTTACCAGCCAGAAATTTACAACTGAAGGTAGTTTTTTAAATCAAGGTCAGAAAGGCAACCTGACTTGGTGATAAATTTGTAGGATCAAATTCATTGTATGTATGAAATACCTCATCTCAGCATTCTGATATAAATTTCACAGACATAGTTAAAATTTAAGAATGGGATTTTAAATGCTACAGGAAGGGCAGGTCTTCATCATTGACCATTAGTATTAGATTAAGGTCTGATGGCAGAATGGAGGACAGTTTATATTCAGGCAATATATGGTCAGGGAAGAGCTAGGAAGATGGATTGCCAACCTGCCCAACCTGAAAGGAATAGTATTGTACTATGTGCTAGGTTCCAGAACAGATTACTGCTTGTATGATCTTTCTTCTTTAGACTAAAGATGACATTAGTATTTTCAGACATTATTCTGCCCTCCTAGCTTAGGAGTTTCAAACACTTACCATGTTTTGGGAAGGTTCTTCCAAATGAAATTTACTAAAGATCCTAACTTTTGACAACATTTTTGACTATGAAGAATTATACAGACTGTTTATTTTATTCTATTGTGGAAAGATAAAATCATTTTTAAATTGTTGTAAGGAAAGGCAAAACATGACAATGATGATGCAAACAACTGTATTTGTTTTATGAGTGAATAATTTTTAATGGTAAGTGTAGCTCAAAAATAATACATTCCCAGCATCTGAAACCTGCAATTCATTTCACCTCCATCCTAAACAGAAGGCTGTTTGTTAATATTCACCCACTTACTGTGTTGGTTTCTGTTCTACTGATTTAAGTGTCCATAAATATAGAAGTTTACTAGTAATGTCTTCTAGTCTCTGTGATTTCCTTGAGCCACCTAGCAAACTCGGGGTGGAAAAGGCATATTTTTTCTTTACATATTCATGAAGCTTCTTTAGACAGGAAAAAACCCTGCTGCTTCTTGAAATTATAATATAGTAAGTTGGTCACTGGAACTAAATATCTGATTTGGTGCCTGATCAGGCTGCTTAACAATAAAAAGTGTTATCAGCTTAACTCATTACCTACAGAATTCTTTAATGCAGAGTATTAATGCTTCATTTGGTTGTCTGCTTGGATTCCTTGAATAGGGTGATTATGTGCCATCAAGTTGATGTCGATTCTTAGTGACCATATAGACAGATTTCTCTGATAATTTGTCTCTAACCTGGTTCTTCAGGTCTTCCAACAGTGCACTCATCACCACTGTAACTGAGTTCATCCAGCTTGCTGCTGATCGTCAGCTGCTTCTCCTTTCTTCCACTTTTCCCAACATCAGAACTCTCCAGAGAGCTAGGTCTTCACATGTTTTGTCCAAAATAGGATAATTTATGCCTCAAGTGAGATCTCTGGATTGATTTGTTCAATGATCCATTTGTTTGTTTTTTTGGCTGTTCACAGTATTCACAGGAGTCTTCTCCAACACCAAAGTTCAAAAGTGTCAATACTGTTTCTATCCTGCTTCTTCAAAGTCTAACTTTAGCTTCCATAGAGTGTTACAGGGAATACCATTGCATGCACTATTCTGATCTTTGTAGATATAGAACATATCATGGCATCTGAATATCTTTTCCATAATTTTTAAAATGTTTTATTGCAGAGTTTAACAATAGTAAAAGATAATACAAACTGAAATCAGAAAGAAAAAAGAAAATAGAAAAGAAATACAAAGTTCAAAAAGGAAAGAAAAAAGGAAAATAAATAGGAAAAAATATTTAAAGAAGTGACTCCCGATCTTCCTTGCAACAAGTACAGGCAAATTTAATATTTCCCCACCCCGTTTAAGATTACATACATAATTCACTTCTTCCCATAATCCCCCCTTATCTATTCACAAATTGAAAATCGTTTCTGTTCAAGTATTGGGAAAAAATCCATAAAGGGTTTTCAGAATTTTATAGAAATATTTTTTATTTTAACCCTGATCAAACAAGTCAACTTTATATTCCTTTCTTTTGCTTCTAACAATCTTGATCTTAAAATAATCAAGTTGCTGTCATAGGATTGAATCTCCTTTCTTTCTCCCATCTCAGATTTCTTCAAGGCTTTAGAAACCCCCTTTTATAAATCCAATAATAAATCCTTGCCCAGGTCATTTTTCATCTCTTGGCTTATCACTTGCATTTCCACTCTGGTTGTCATCTGTTTTATAACCTACAATTTATTTTCCAATATTTTTACAACAGCTGGAATTTGTTTCACTTCTTCATCCTGTCAGTCTATAATTTCTTTCACGTTCTCTTTCCCATCTTTCATTTCTTAGAGTCTTCTTTACAAAATCTGCACATTAGCAGGTGCAGAAATTATAGGTGTCAATTTAACTATATGTTTCTCTCCCAATTCTTCAAAAATTCTTTGAAATGTCTCAAGTTTTATCTGTCATTTTATAAATTTCACTGCTCCTCTTTTGGTTCAAGAATAAAAGACAGGTTTTCCTTTTTTTTTTTTTCCCCTCCGTTTTCCTGCCTGGAACTTTAGTCCCCCTAGTGTCCCATTTCTATAATCACAGTCTCAGTTTTGTTTTTATTTTCAAATTTCAACCAATCATCTCTTTCCTAATAGACTAAACAATTCATATTCCCACAATGATAATGGTTTGATTATTTAGTTATTTCCAAAGTCTTAGCAAAAGTCCTAATATTCCAAAATCGTCTGGTCCCTTAATTCATTTAAAACTA